TAATTAGAAGTGACAATTATGTTGCTTCTGGTGTTAGAAAATGGTGGGTAAACAGCCTATGTGGTGTTGAAAGAGCCTAGAAAGGGCTTCTGACCTTCCATGTGTGCTTGCTTCTGTATTGAAAATAGCCACTATACAACAAAGCAGGAGTTTAAAACACACAACAGTAAACTACATAAGTAAAAACAGGAAGAACATCCCCCTCATACCCAGAAGCATTGCAGTGAAAACAAAACAGTGCAACGTCAGCATCCAGACACCCTCTGGAAAGGCCAGATTTTCACTCTTGCTGAAGGGTGAGCAGCAATTGGGTAAGCAGACGTCTCTCAGGAGGATATTCTATTACTGTATTGTGAGCCTTCTATCGGAAAGCCCCTTTCTCCTGGGACTACCCACCTCATCTGTGAAGGCAAAAGAATTCAGAGTGGATTCTCAAGTGTTGATTGGGGAATACAAATATCTAAGGGTGGGAGGAGGTAGTCTTTCAGATATCTGTCTTTCAAATGCTCATTAATGCCAGCATCTAGAACTGAAACCTGGAAACTTGCATGAATATTGAAATCACATGATTTGAGCCCCACTAAAATTTTGGTTTTTGTATTTTGGACCTATTACAATATTGTTGTACTTCTCAAGGGCAATCCTACACAGAGAATTTTGCAGTAACCCAACTTGGATGTGACCAAACCATGAATGACTGTGGACAAGTATGCCTTTTCCTTTTAATGTACGGAATGCCCATAAAAAAGTAAAGTAAAGGTGGTGGAGTGGGGAAGAAAGGAGACAAAATCCTATCAGAGCTGCTCTTGAGAACATACAAGCAAGTCTAGTTACCTTCTTGTGTTTGTTTATATCTCCAGATCAAAAATATGCCTTCCATACTTGAGAAAGAGCAAGATTGGTCATATCCTTAATATCAGTCCGCCAATAAATTTAAACCCACTGTGGTTCAAAAATCATTGTGGTAAGTATACTTTTAGCGGTGGCTTCTGTTAAAACCTGCTCAAGCCCAAGGGAATGTAAAGACTGGTTCTCCCCTCCCTCCCTGCCTTCTTTCTCTCCTTTTAACCTCACATCTTGAAAGTTGGTTGTGTTTTGTGGTGGGGTTGGGGCTGTAGTAGCTTAAAAGATCAGTGGGTGGTGAGACATTTGCTGTTGCACAAAGAATTCTGACCTTTACAACACAACAAAAAGTTGGACTTAAGCCTTTAAGTCGCTAACATGATGCTTACTAGTGGGCCATACTTTGAGTTTGTGACTGTTTACAATATTCAGATAATAAAATGCTTCTGAAAATCCAATGCAGATAAGGAGAACCCTGCTGGATCAGTCCAAAGTCCTCTGTAGTACAATATCCTGTTTCCTTCAGCGACAAGCTGGATGTCTCTCATGTTTCTTTCTCTGTCACAAGCACTTTTCACATCTCTCAGACTTATCAGTCCTTCACTTTTCCATGACAGGATTCTTTGTCTGAAATATAGTGTTGTTATAAAGAGGGAACAAAATACAGGTTGAGTCTCCCTTCTCTGGAATTTCAAAATCCAAAATATCCCAAAATCTAAAATTGTCCATGTGGGCGGCTGAGCTAGTAACACCTTTATCTTCTGATGGTTCAATGTACAATGTGTTTCATGCACAAAATTATTTAAAATATTGTATAAAATTACCTTCAGGTTATGTGCATAAGGTGTATGTGAAACATAAATACATTTTGTGTTTAGACCTGGCTCCAAGATAAGCATTTTGGATAAGGGAGACTTAACCAGTAAGTATTTCCATTTACTTTAAGTGACTAAATCTATCTTCATGTTCTTTTCTAGCTTATACCATTTCTAAATATGGAATGTCAATGTGTGTGCTGGGAATGGCGGAAGAATTCAGAGGCGAAGTTGCAGTTAATGCTTTGTGGCCTCAAACAGGTTTGTATGTTTTTTAAACAAAAAATCCTTTAAAAAGATTATATAGTTTAATACTTGGCTCCAGCCATTTTTTAAATTGATATGTTCTGATGTAAATATGTTCCACACTGGAATATGATTTCTAAATTTGTTCAAACTGTGTATCAAGTTTCCACTTGCAGTTTTCAGTAGGGAAGCTATGATAGAGCTTATAGTTTCTGTTGATCTTGCATAGTATCCTAGAAATATATCCTTTTTTCTTACTCTGAAAAGCTGTCATGCCAAAATAGACCTCTTTTCAAAATAGTAAATTACTTGTTATGCATATTTTCAATCTTATACATATCCCCTGGGGAACATGTGCTGTAGAATTTAGTGGCAACTACTCAAGTAGGTGAACATAAAATGAGAGCATTAACTTAATAATATTATTAATGTATTTATTTCTATACCTTCTTTATACTAAATAAATATCATTTTAGGCAGCTAACAAGATTTGGTGATACTTGATCTTTGTCCCTGTGTATCAGTTGTAGATGTGATGTGCATGTGAGGAGTAATTTTTCTCCAGTTTTCTTACCAGGCATATAAGAATTCACTGAATACTTCACAACTACCCAGCATTTGTTTATTTTCTCAATGTAATCAGGTTACTAGAGATCACAAGAGCATATGTAAATGTTTTGATGCTGCTGCTTCTTTTAACAGACCATGCCATGCAAATATGTTGGTGAAGGGCTTTCCAGATGTTGAATTCCAATTCCCATCAGCCCATTGGCTGGGGTATGATGGGAGTAGTAGTTTGTCATCATCTGAAGAACTGACAGTTGCTTATCCCTGGTATCAGTCCAGGTACACTTGGGCTTTCAGGATCTTACTGTCAGTTTTTGCCTACTTGGTAGCACATCACTATTTTAAAAACCTTAAAATGAAATGGAGCACTTTTACCTTAATAGTGACATATCTGTGGATGTGGTAGTAGATCTTTCCACTGTGGTCCTCAGTGTAGTACTGATGCAGAAAAACGGGTGCATCTGAAACAAATACTGTACCTCTACCTTTGTGTTCTTTTTTAATTGGTCAGCATCTCACTTTCCTACTAGTGGTGATGGTTTTCTGACTGATATGGCTTGTTCTGTTTGGGCACATAAAAGGATAACTGAAACCACCTTTGATACTCCTTCACCTCATTCCAGAAAAGGATTTTTCCTCCCCACCCTGCTATTCCACCTCAACATTAGGAGGAACTTCTTGACAGTGACAGCTGTTCCACAGTGGAACACACTTCCTCAGAGTGTGGTGGAGTCTCCTTCTTTGGAGGTCTTTAAACAGAGGCTGGATGGCTGTCTGTCGGGGATGCTTTGATTTTGAGTTCCTGCATGGCAGGGAGTTGGACTGGATGGCCCTTGTGGTCTCTTCCAACTCTATGATTCTATGATTCCATTTTCTCTTCCCCCCCCCCCCCCCCCCCCGACCCAGATTTGTCTCCTGACCTTAGAATTCTTTTTCTTCCCCAGGAGGAAAATGATTGACATGTTCTTCTTGTCATTGCAGTGCTCCCAGAATATGGAACCATATTCTTTTTTCAACCCACTCTTCTCCTTGAATGGGCAAGCATCTAAAGTCATTTCTAATATTCTGGAAACTCAGATTATATCTTCCTTCATTTTATGGGTCCTTTCGAACATGCCATAGAGGAAGAAGCAGGTTGACCTTAGAATGTACACTCAACAGCCTGAGGTGGCAAATCAGTGTTTCTTGCATTCACTTTTTTGGGGATCTTACCTCAAACATAATTTGTGAAACAATATATTTCTTCCACTAAAAGTGAATTATTTATAAATTATTGTACATTGGTATGGCAAAAATGATGGCATTTAAATTTTGTATGATAGATTTGCAAGGGGATTGTAGGCCATCACTGTAGACTAATTTTTCATTCCGTTCTGTCTGTTTTATTTTTTAGCTATCTATACCTCTGCAATGGATATGTTGGGAGGAGCTGGCGTAGAGAAACAATGCAGGAAAACGGATATTCTAGCAGATGCTGCATATTGTATTTTAACAAAGCCCAAAAGTTTCACTGGAAATTTTGTCATTGATGAGAATTTGTTGAGAGAAGAAGGAATTAAGGATTTTGATGTATATGCAGTTGCCCCAGGTAATTTAGATTTCATTTTCTTTCAAATGATGTTTATGCTATGTAGAAATTAGAGTTCAGCAAATACATAGCTTTATTCTGTGGTATGAATCCAAATTTAAATCCATTCTGATCAGTTTGTCACAGAGACTATTGATTTTAGTCATTTTCCTCTAAGTCAGGTTCCAATGCTGTGTGTTAAGATTTGTAAAACCTTATCAGTCTTTCCAGATGGTCAGTTTATGACACAATAAATTATTTGTAGTTCACAGATCACATGGTTTTCATGGCTGCAGTTCTGTTATGTCTGGTAATGTGTTTCCTCACAGAATACAGTGTATTGTTTCTGGAAAAATGTTCCACTTTTTCTCAACCTTTCCCAACATATTTCTTCTTGTTATGGTCAGCTA